GTTATTTTTATTTTCAATAACATTTATGTTGCGAAACACATTACTAAGTTGATTGACTTTCTAGATTGTTCTGTTTGTCCGTGTAAATACACTGTGGCGGGTAGCCATCATACAACGCAAGATATTTGACAGATGCCTGAATCTCGCTTACGACATTTTCAAGATAAAGCGCATATATACAAGTTCCGAACAACAAACATTCGGATGGAAAGCAGTCGACGTCGCCCCAAACACGTCATTTCGGATCCTCCCGATCCACTAACGGTGCTTTTAGGTACCTCAAGCACCGGTCATCGTTTTCGTCGAACCCGTCGCTTGCGACGAAGAAGGGCTCGACGAGTAAATTAACCCTCAGACACAGCCCACTGAGTTTCTAGCCGGATCTTCTCAGTGGGTCGCGTTTCCGATCCGGTGGTAGATTCTGCGAAGCACGGCTCTTGCTAGGGTCAGTGTTAGCATCACTTTGGTTGAGCCCCGTGAGCTCACCTACTAGCTAAGGTTATGCTGAAATAGCCTCTCAAGGCTATCAGCTTAGGTAGGAGGTACCGGTCAATGATACCATACTGTAACAACTGAGCCCTTAGAACTCTTGTCTCAAGGTGGGTGGTGGCATCTACGTTGTAGATGTCCATGGGCTCCGGTAACCACTTAATACAGGTGAGCCGTGAGATCGTCCACCCATCTACCCAATAAAAATTTAATAAAAAAATCCCTCGACATCGCTTGTAAAATACTTTTTCTACATTGGAGTTTGGAACTATGAGTAATCTTAACACAAAATATTATCAACCGATATAAATAAAGGAAACTCCTTGAAATGACTGATTTGTTGCGATTGATTTACGTTTTAATAAATTAAATTTCAGAATTCAGTTTTGAACGTCTAAAGAAGAAGATACCTCGTGTAGTCTTTTTTGTTTGTTGCTTAGATGGGTGGACGAGCTCATAGCCCACCTGGTGTTAAGTGGTTACTGGAGCCCATAGACATCTACAACGTAAATGCGCAATGCGCCTCCCACCTTGAGATATAAGTTCTAAGGACTCAAGTATAGTTACAACGGCTGCCCCGCCCTTCAAACCGAAACGCATTACTGCTTCACGGCAGAAATAGGCAGGGTGGTGGTACGAACCCATGCGGACTCACAAGAGGTCCTACCACCAATAAATTTGAGTTAAGCAACGATGTCATAATCGAAATCTCGTGTTTAGTTACATAAAGAAGAAGTATTAACCAATTAAACCTGTTTTACACCCTCCGATTTTTTGCTACACACAACACAAAAGAAAATCGTAGCCTTGGACCGTTGGATTCGGAATGAGATTACAAAAATTATGAGCAATATAGTATTTTCATCGGTTTTAGCATTTTTTATGCCTGTGAAATTTAATGATTTGATAGTGTAGACTTAAATAACTTTATCGATTTAACGTTAATAAATACGCTAGTAGAATGAATCTAAGGGAGTTATTATTATTCGAAATTTAATAAAAGTAGTGATTCCCCGGTAGTCGAAATTCGACTATAATTAATTGAAATTATAAGTTTGTCCACTATCATGATTAAAAAATTAGAATGATGGTCAAAGACTACTTATACTTCTATAATCACAGATTTCGCCAAGACTACACTTTAGACAGATATTAATAAAGACAAACAATATTTAATCTATTTTCAATTTGACCACAGACTATAAGCAATAAGAAAAGTTTGACAATAAACAAATAATATGTATGCGTGGTGTGTGTGTGTAAAATACATGGCAGTGTGGGTAATGTTTTTTTATCAATTTAATCTATTTTTAATGCATACTTCAAAAAAATATTAACATTCTGCACTCCTTCTCTACATTCCCTATAAGTGTGGAAAATTTCATAATCCTACGTCCACGCAATTTTCGTAAAAAGGGATACAAAGTTTCTGCTTCAAGTAGTAATATATAGATCGCACGTTCATATTAACTTTTAACAGTAAATTGTTTATTTTAAAGGGAAATTAAACAGTTTACGGAGAATTACAGGTTTTATTTAAAAAAAAAAAAACTGTTTTGTCTCTGTACCAAAAGATCCTTTCGATTAGAATGCTGAACACAATCAAACATGCATTAATATTCCATAAGTGCTACAGGGAATTTCAGCGATTCTAAGCGATTATTTTTTTTCATAAAAAATATTAAAACAGTTTTAGAAAGCCACCTGGTGGGGGGTAGAGGGACTAATATTCCACCGCAGCGACACCTGGAGGGTAGGAAACCCAACTAAAGCCCAATAAAATAAGTGTACTACTAGCTGACCCGGCAGACTTCGCAGTGCCTCAATCGATAAATAAAAGACACATCAAGGGGACACATCAAAGGAAAAACAAAATTGTTTGTTTTTTATATAATTCCGAGCTTTTTTATATTTTCTTACCTCCACGAATAATTCAAGACCAAAATTAGCCAAAATGGGTCCAGCCGTTCTCGAGTTTTAGCGAGACTAACGAACAGCAATTCATTTTTATTTAAATAGATTCATCGTCCTAGAGTCATAGACCTAATTAAACTTATTACAAACTTTCTTTTACGGTTTATCACTCGTTTTTTTTTCAACATAATATTATTGTATTTTCGACGCTTTGAATAACTTATAGTTTTCTTGGTCACGGACCACCATTTCCATTATTGTCGATATTGAACCGTAAAAATAATTATTTAACATACAGCTCTAAGGAATTATTCGAAATGATCTCCTCATCTCCTTTTTATCATCGCACCTCCCGCCATCGGAGCCGAGTCCATTCTTATTGTCTGGAACCGCCGCGTTCATCGACAGTGCGTTTCCAAAAATCTTTATGGCCACTTACCATCCGGCTTTGGAATGAACTCCCCTCTACGGGGTTTTCCGAGCGCTATGACATGTCGTTCTTCAAACGAGGCTTGCGGAGAGTATTTATTGGTAGGCAGCAGCTTGGCTCGGCCCCTGGCGTTGCCGACGTCCATAAGCGACGCTGACCACTTACCATCAGGGAGATCTGCCTACAAAAGCAATAAATTTTTATAGCAAGCTATAGTTTCAACGTTTATGATTTAGATGTACCTTTGGTGTCTTATCGAATATTCCATATAGTCTACCGAATTCTTTAGTGATACTATTCAATTTTGATAGGAGAGGATTAATGTTAGATGGTTTCAATAAAACGTGTCGCGATTTCTGAGAAATACGTTCGATAAAACTCAGCAGCCGCGTGACCGCAATTTATTAATCATTTTCCATTACGAATGCCGTTTCCAGTCGATTGTTTTTGTTGTAAATACGTAATACATCATAAATTTATATGGCGGTTTAAAATATTCCCAGAACAATAGGTTTATTAAAATACATCGCATTTACTGTTATGATTGTACCTACCGACCTTGAGTTAATAAACTTTTATCATTAATAAATTAATCACTAATGTTTCTTTGTGTATTTGTCATCTATGTGCCAGCTAAGTGTATTCATCCGATTACGATGAAACTATAGGTATTTGTCAAAACCTTCAAAGAGGAACAGCTTTGCAGCAAGTTTTTTTTTTATGATTGAAGGATTACTGGTGGCCCGGAAGCCTTTCCAGTTTCACAAGGACACGTGGGCGAGCAAAGCCTCAGCCAGGAGGGGCGGGATTTGCTAACAGCTACCCGAGCGCCTCCGAAGGAGACCTAACAACTCAAGAGTAGCTGCTTCGCGAATGAATCTACTACCGGATCGGAATCGCGACCCGCTGAGAAGATCCGGCGAGAAACTCAGCGAGCTGATTCATGGGTTAGGTTGCACGGCGAACTCTTTGTCGAGTTCGACGAGTACGGTTACCGAGGTCCCTAAGCCTGCTCCTAGAGCTGAAGGCGTCTAGTGCAAAGGTTATTGGATCTGATGGATCCGTAAGGACGTGTCTAGGGCGTCGACGGTGACTGGCTCCTGCGTGATCAGGATTCGTGGAGTAGTCAGCAGCGGCAACGATAAGGCGATTATCATGACGCATAGGGCAGCAAGTTAAGACTTAACACACAACGGAACTAGACTTCGTTGACCTATCATTGCAATAAAAGAAGCATTTTATTCTAATGTAATTTGGGAGAGATCGTTCTGTGATAAGATTATATCGAAAATGTTAATGACTTAATATGCCAAAATTCTGTATATTATCTTAGATCTACATGCATTCATGCACACGAAGCATTTTCATATTATTCGACATTATTATTTTATTCTTATTAAATTAATCCCATTAGTTGTAAGATTTGCGAGATAAAGAAAAAAATATTATAGCGCCATCTATTGGTGGCAATCAAAATCAAAACTACTGAACAAGATTATTTTCATTTTAATCAATAAAAACATAATCGGAAAATCAAATTACTTTCCAACAAAATACTATGGATAAGTTAACAATTGCTTTTATTTTTGTCGATAACTACAAGATGGCAGTATTCACAATAAAAGTTTATTTTTGTTTTTATTCATTTAAATTGGTAATTTTCAGTGGACTAGTGGTCACCCGGTAGTCGAAATTCGACTGTATTTAATTGAAATTATAAGTTTGTACACTATTATGATTCTATTTTCAAAGACTAATATACTTCTTTAATCACAAATTTCGTCAAGACTACACTATAGAAAAATATTAATAAAGACAAACAATACCTATTTAATCTATTCTCAATTTAACCACAGACGTCAAGAACAAAAGTTTGGCAATAAATAAATAGTATGCATGCGTGTTGCGTCAAATACATGGTAGTGTGTGTAATGTTATTTTTTATTGATTTATTGTATTTTTTAGGGATAATTAAAAAAAAAATTAACATTCTGCACTCCTTCTCTATATTCTCTTTACGTGTGGGAAATTTCATACTCCTCCGTCCGCGCAATTTTCATAAAAAGGGATACAAAGTAGTTGCTTCACGTATTAATATATAAATATGTGAATAAGTACATTGAATTAGTACTAGATAAATTTTTTGATGTTGTTCATAATAGTGAGAATGACGTTTACCGTCGTCGGCAACGTGCTGAATGTCAACCACGCGGGTTTGATATTGTGCTCCGTGTCATAGGTACATTTTTTTAAAGTGATTTTTTTTCCTACCTAATCTGATGGTCTGTAGAGAACTTATCAGCGTCACCGAGCTCAAACCTGATGACGTTGCTAACACAAACCCTAGTAAGAGTCGTGCTTCGCAGAATCTGCCACCGGATCGAAAACGCGACCCATTGAGAAGATCCGCGCGAGAAACTCAGTGGGCTGTGTCTGTGGATTAATTTAGTCGCCGAGCCCTTCGTAGTAAGCGACGGGTTCGACGAGAACGACGACCGGTGCTTGAGGTACCTAAAAGCACCGTTAGTGGGTCGGGAGGATCCGGAATGACGTGTTTTAGAGGACATCGACTTAAAGTGATAATACTTGAGTTAGGTTTGTATATGCCATACGAAGTCATTTCGGAAAAGAGCAAACCCAGATCTTCTTGCGAACGATTCTTTTCGTCAGCCTAAATGCGTTCCGAATCGGTGGTAAGATTATAACGATTTGAAAGTTTCGGTCAAGCTATAATAGCCTGAAAAACACGTTTATTTTTATATCAAACGCAGATAGATGCGTTTTAAAAAAAAAATAACGCTTTTTTTACAATAAAATAAAAATTTTTACACTATTTTTAATAAAAATTTATTAAAATTTATTTTCTATTTTTTAGTTGCATTTTCTATAAAAGCGTATTTTGTTAGTTTTTTTTAACTTTTATTTATTTTTAATTTTTTAGTTGAATTTCAATTTTTTCAATATTTTTTTTTCAATATTTTTAGTTATTGAATTGTCATCGGTCCTTAATAAGTATACCAAATTTCGAGTTAATCCGATGTTTTGAAAGGGGTCAAAATCATGTTCAAAGATTCCGTTACATACATACGTATAAACAAATAAAATACCCATTATTTTTTTGGGCAGAAGAGCATACGGCCCGCCCACCTGATAGTGAGTGGTTACCGTCGCCCATGGACTTCAGCAATGCCTGTGGCAGATGACCGTTGTAAAAGTAATTTTGAAAGAAATCGAAGCGGTTCCAATTCGAAGAGTGGGTGGGTATCTTACAAGTTCTTACTTCATGCGTCAAGGTTTGCGAAGGCGTTGATGCTGTGATTGAATGTCTGTTCTTCGTTAAGCCTTTGACCCCAAGTGACCCGAAACTTCGTCTGTCCGTGCAGACACAATACATCGAGGAGTGAATGGCTATTTTAAGGCTGGTGGTAGGACCTCTTGTGAATCCGCGCGAGTAGATACCACCCTGCCTATTTCTGCCGTGAAGCAGTAATGCGTTTCGCTTTGAAGGGTGGGGGCAGCGGTTGTAAATATACTGAGACCTTAGAACTTATATCTCAAGGTGGGTGGTGCATTTACGTTGTAGATGTCTATGGGCTCCAGTAACCACTTAACATCAGGTGGGCTGTGAGCACGTCCACCCATTTAAGCAATAAAAAAAATCGTTTAAGTGTCATTTATGCAACTTTACAGGGGAACTATTTAAAGTTTAAAAAAACTTCTTCAGCCGTTTGAATGGGATAAACTTAATTGAAGTTATCTATGTATCTATGTATATATAAATGAATTGCTGTTCGTTAGTCTCGCTAAAGCTCGAGAACGGCTGGATCGATTTGGCTAATTTTGGTCTTGAATTATTTGTGGAAGTCTAGAGAAGTTTTAAAAGGTAGATAAATATGAAAATGCTCAGAATTAAATAAAAATAACAATTTTGTTTTTCCTTTGATATGTTCACCGTCGGACGGATTCCTTTTATTTGCTTTAAGTTTATTTTATACAAAAGTTTAGGTCTTTTATTTATCGATTGAGGCAATACGAAGTCTACCGGGTCAGCTAGTCTACTTATATACTAATATTATAAAGAGGAAAGATTTGTTTGTTTGTTTGTATTGAATAGGCTCCGGAACGATTTGAAAAGTTCTTTCACTGTTTAGAAGCTACACTATTGCCGACATGACATGACATAGGCTATAATCTTTTTTGAAAAAAATTAGCGATCCTTACTAAAACTCCAATAATGTAACCCAAGGTGTAAAAAAATTACTTAAAATATTATTTACATCGGGTGCCCTGCGAATACTATTGATGATAGAATAAAATAATGTACTACGACTTTGTAGAACACATTATTATTTACAAAAAGTGTCGCGACAGCATATTTCTAACTATTATAGTTATGCCGCAATATGTGTTCTTTTATTTAAAAAATAAAACTACGTCAAATATCGTTGAAATTTTTGTTAAAGACCCGAACGGAGCCGGAGCGGGCCGCTAGTACAAAAGAAAACGCACTTATAATTACAAAGATAATTTTCGCGTATCAAGCGAAAGAAATGTTGCTTAAGCCAAATAGCTTTTCGCGACTCGATATGTATATAATAATATTATGTATGTCCGCTTGCTTTCACAAACAACTACACGAGCATACTTGCTTAATTCAGAGAATCCCTAAATTATATTCACGTAGAGCGAAATTCACATAAGAAGCTTGCTTATTATTGCAGCTTTCCCATTGAATTTTATCTTTGCCGCACTTCAGAACAAAGACGATTTTGTTACCTGTTTCTAGCTGTGTAGTGAAATCATTCGAAGCCATCTAAACCGACTTTATAAATACTTATAAACTTATTATAGAATCCGATAAACATAGAATCTTTCATATCAAGAACCGATGACCATACACTAAATAATCTTAATACTTTACCCTAAAAATACAGAATTATCAGCATGATAGAAACATTTCGTATTTTTTTTTAAATTCAGTTAGATACTTTCTACTGAAGCGCTTTTTTTTTAAATCATTTATTTCTGTGTACTGTAAAACAGGTGTTCAAGTATAATTGAATATTTACAATTTAAGACTGATTATCGCTTTGACACTTCGATCATAAAGACGCCAAGATCTTTTCTTTTATTGCTTAGATGGGTGAACGAGCTCACAGCCCACCTGGTGTTAAGTGGTTACTGGAGCCCATAGACATCTACAACGTAAATGCGCTACCCAGCTTGAGATATAAGTGGTAAGGTCTCAGTATAGTTACAATGGCTGCCCCGCTCTTCAAACCGAAACGCATTACTGCTTCACGGCAGAAATAGGCAGGGCGGTGGTACCTACACGTGCGGACTCACAAGAGGTCCTACCACCAGTAAAAAATCCAAATAACCTCATATAAATTCACGTGGTGTCCACCGAAATCCAGATTATTACTTGAATGTATCCGAAAATATGGCTGATAAATAATTAATTCAATCAATGTCATTATCAATTTAAAATTTGAACTTATCTTGTACGTGAGAAAAACGTGTCGCGATAGCTAATTAGGTAAATCCCATCAAATGTTACTAGGTCAGCATTCTTCACAATTTTTTATTTTTATTTATGTACGTATATTTATTGGCGATCCTACAATGACAATCTTTTCAATTACAATTTTTTTTGTATTTTTACCTTATTTTATGTAATTTTTATTTACTTCCTCCTAAATGACGCTTATTCGAAATTATGATAATTTTCCACAAACGTTCCAAATACCGGAATACGTTCTGCCAATCCTTCTGTTCGGTCACAGAAGGTCAAAACCAGCATTCAAAATTAATATAGACGGACAGACAAGTAAACGTGATCTAGCTGTAGCCATCGTATCCCATTTACCTCCAACTGGGAACATGAAATTGATATCTCCAGCGGATTGCAACAACGACATTTTACCTTTGAAGCCAGAACATATGTATGCTAGCAAGGAAAAGAAGTACCTATCAGTAAAGGTTACGAGAGAAGTTTGTTCAAATGAGTGGTGATGATACTATTGCTACCAGACGATAGGGAAGTAATAGACCAGTAAACCCAGAGTAGCTAACTGGAAGCATAAAAGCTAATAATTATTAAACATTTTGACTAACATGATATTATGCATGCCTCTTAAAGCTATAAGTTAGCAGAAAAAAAAACAACTTTAATTACGTAAATATTTTTATCATTGCGAAGTGGGTTATTTTGGACCATCTATACATAATTATCTCTGTAAATTTAATTAAATACATCCCGTTTGATATAAATCTATAGATTAATAAATTTTTGTTCACGATTCTACTTAACAAACAGAAGCCGACAGAATCGTTCGGTTAAAATAATAAAGAGCCAGTAAAAAAAAATCACTAACTACGTATTTGGAAATTTATACATACATTTTGAGCGTTGCAATCATTGAATTTATTTAAAACTTTGCATTTATTAACTAGCATTCTTTGAATATAAACATTTGACAGTATATAGCGATCAGTGACATTATTAACTATGCGCCATAATTTTTTAAGGTTTCATATATTTCTGACACTGTTTTTGTGATAGGTATACAAAAATGGCAGGCAGGTAGGTAGGCATAGACTTTGTTATACCCCTAGTAAGGCTGACATCCGCCGTGAGCACTCAACACCAAGTGATGCTCATCGGTCTTCTAATGTAATAAAATGAATAACAAATTAAACTGAAAAGTAAAGACAGAAACGCTATTAGACTTATATTTCAATCAACGTCAAGAAATCATCAAACGCTTCTAAAAACTTCACGGAACCATCTACTACAACAAAAATCACACTTCACATATGATAAATAATTATCTTATTAGCGTTCGCCAAACAGAACTTTTATTATGATTATGATATTAGTGTCACTGGTCGTCGAAGAATGCAGTGGGCAACGGAAATGTGCAAAATCCATTTAATAGTGATAGTAATGCTGTGCGACCTGATGAAATCATCGTCCAACAGTCAATCGTTTGATCAAAATGTGTGTGACAGAATACAAACCGATCAATTCAATGATCCATATAGTGCTCCCGCGAGTGAATCTAAGCAATGCATTTCAACAGATTCCGTATTCAGTGACGGAGTTTTAGTGGCTGATTTTCTCATTGATTCGACTTCTGATGATGATTTGGTCTCGCTACTGATTTTCGAAGTGGGACACGAAGAATTGCCTGCGCACAGAGTTGACGTAGGTCCATCCAAAACTTGGTCTTACAATGGACCCTACACTATAAAAATTGTAATAAATGGAACTGGTCCTCTAAGATCTGTAAGTGCGATTTAATTTATTTAAGAACTAGCGATCCGCCCTCGCTTCGCTTCGGAAACATTAAATTTTATTATTGACTAGCTGACCCGGCAGACTTCGTAGTGCCTCAATCGATAAATAAAAGACCTAAGCTTTTGTATAAAATAAACTTAAAACAAACAAAAGGAATCCGTCCGACGAGGGACACATCAAAGGAAAAACAAAATTGTTATTTTTATTTAATTCCGAGTATTTTCATATTTTTATAACTTTTAAACCTTCTCTGGACTTTCACAAATAATTCAAGACCAAAATTAGCCAAATCGGTCCAGCGGTTCTCGAGTTTTAGCGTGACTAACGAACAGCAATTCATTTATATATATATATATAGATAGCTGAGTTCCGCTATGTTATGTCCCGTCGTACCGCGTGTGATGCCGCGGGGCGAAGCTAGTCTAAAAAAAGTAAAGCGTAAGTTACTCCTTATATTATCAGCTACCTATCAGTGAAAGTCCCGTCAAAATCGGTCCAGCCGTTCCAGAGATTAGCCGGAACAAACAGATAGACAGACAGACAAACAAAAATTTAAAAAAATGTTATTTTGGTGTATGTACCGTATATATATTCATATGCATGTAGTAAAAAGCGGTTATTTCAATATTACAAACAGACACTCCAATTTTATTTATATGTATAGATTTTGGTTTTTCTCTATTCAAAAGCTTAGTTTAAACTCAGTTGCACTTGGTAGCCTTCGCTCTGCTATCTTATCTTAACTTAGAATCGATTATATTAATAATATTTACAAATAATTAAATAAATTGTCGACCTTTTGATTAAGATCAATTTCAATATAACTATATCATCAGTTTGATTGAAATCAACCGGTTAGTTTTATATTCGTAAATTTTATTCATTGTTTTGTTTTCAGTTCCGGGCTGCTTTGGTGGGAAGTGTTTCAAGAAATTCAACGCTAAAAATTAATAATCTAAAATTAGTTCCTGTTGTAGTGACTAGTCGTAAATTGAATAACTTGAGTATTAGATTTCATAATTTGCTACGGATATTATCTGAAAATGATAGAAAAAATAAATCATCACTGATTTTTTTCTCTATTTCTGTCAATAAAGGAAAAAATACGCTGATAAGAGAGGTTATCGAGAAAGCTATTATACCCGAGGCACTACTCCCAGGCCCCATTTTCTCTGAAATTACCACTGACGACCTGACTACTCCGATTGTAACTATTCCATTTCCCACTGTCACTGAAATTACCACTGAAGACCCGACTAGTCCCATCGTAACTGTTCCATTCCCCACTGTCACCGAAATTACTACTGAAGACCCGACTACTCCCATCGTGACTGTTCCTTTTCCCACTGTCATCGAAATTACCACTGAAGAACCGACTACTCCCATCGTGACTGTTCCATTCCCCACTGTCACCGAAATTACTACTGAAGACCCGACTACTCCCATAGTAACTGTTCCATTCCCCACTGTCACCGAAATTACTACTGAAGACCCGACTACTCCCATCGTGACTGTTCCTTTTCCCACTGTCACCGAAATTACTACTGAAGACCCGACTACTCCCATCGTGACTGTTCCATTCCCCACTGTCACCGAAATTACCACTGAAGACCCGACTACTCCCATCGTAACTGTTCCATTCCCCACTGTCACCGAAATTACTACTGAAGACCCGACTACTCCCATCGTGACCGTTCTATTCCCCACTGTCACCGAAATTACTACCGAAGACCCGACTACTCCCATCGTGACCGTTCCATTCCCCACTGTCACCGAAATTACTACTGAAGATCCGACTACTCCCATCGTAACCGTTCCATTTCCCACTGTCACCGAAATTACGACTGAAGACCTGACTACTCCCATCGTAACTGTTCCATTCCCCACTGTCACTGAAATTACTACTGAAGACCCGACTACTCCCATCGTAACTGTTCCATTCCCCACTGTCACCGAAATTACTACTGAAGACCCGACTACTCCCATCGTGACCGTTCTATTCCCCACTGTCACCGAAATTACTACCGAAGACCCGACTACTCCCATCGTGACCGTTCCATTCCCCACTGTCACCGAAATTACTACTGAAGATCCGACTACTCCCATCGTAACCGTTCCATTTCCCACTGTCACCGAAATTACGACTGAAGACCTGACTACTCCCATCGTAACTATTCCATTCCCCACTGTCACTGAAATTACTACTGAAGACCCGACTACTCCCATCGTAACCGTTCCATTCCCCACTGTCACCGAAATTACTACTGAAGACCCGACTACTCCCATCGTGACCGTTCTATTCCCCACTGTCACCGAAATTACTACCGAAGACCCGACTACTCCCATCGTGACCGTTCCATTCCCCACTGTCACCGAAATTACTACTGAAGATCCGACTACTCCCATCGTAACCGTTCCATTTCCCACTGTCACCGAAATTACGACTGAAGACCTGACTACTCCCATCGTAACTATTCCATTCCCCACTGTCACTGAAATTACTACTGAAGACCCGACTACCCCCATCGTAACCGTTCCGTTCCCCACTGTCACCGAAATTACTAATGAAAACCCGACTACTCCCATCGTAACAGTTCCATTCCCCACTGTCACCGAAATTACCACTGAAGACCCGACTACTCCCATCGTAACCGTTCCATTTCCCACTGTCACCGAAATTACCACTGGACATCCAACGACCGAAAATGTGGACGTTACCACTCCTGCAGACGATTTAAAAGAATTGGAAGGCTTAAGTTTATTTATAATAGTAATTATCTCATTAGCATCAGTTTTTATTGTTATTTTGATAGGGTTGGCCATTTATTGTTTCTCAACCTCTGGCAAATCTCTAGAGTTACAAACATTATCGTATAACGAGGGTAACTTTGATAATGATTCCCCTGGATTTGTATCGACGCCAAAAATAAGTGGAAGTGCATTGAATGTGTAAAATACTAGAGTGTAATCTTATTAGTTTAATAAATTTTTTTTTATTGCTTAGATGGGTAGAACAGTTCACAGCCCACCTGGTGTTAAGTGTTTACTGGAGCCCATAGACATCTACAACGCACCACCCACCTTGAGATATAAATTCTAAGATCTCAAGCATAGTTACGTTTATATTTAAATTGAAATGCCCAACAATATTATTAAGGAAATACATGTACTTGCTTAATTTATATAAATATAATAAATATATAAAGAAAATATAAAGTACCTAAATGGTACAACCCTGTGAATTACTGGTCGAATATCGAAAATATCTTAAAGTTTATCTGTACCTAAAATAAGTAAATGTTTTTTTTTTTATTTGTATCTCTATTTTCTGCCTGCTAATAAGATACATATAAAATATGTAATATTAATCACTAAGTAGTTCTAAAAAGAAAATAGTTTGTGGATTATTGTTTGCGATTGAGTTTTAAAGGTTCTATGAGCCTCCTCCGAGTGTCAACATTTCTGACTCTAGGCAGAAGATACACATAATATGCATTTCCAAATTCTTGCTTTTTTTGTTATTATTAAACACATTGTATTTTCACTAAATAATGCTGCACAAATAGAAACAATTATGTATCTAATGATTTAGAATTAAGATCACGACATTGGACGATGTCATATTCAATTAATGTAGTTGTAAGTACGTCTAAGTAATAATGTAAAGAAATTATTTGTTCTTGTACAACTGTGATCACTCACCAGGTACATCAGATCATGATCAAATCAAAAAATTTTATTCAACATAAATGAAAGTACATACTTGTTGAACGTCAAAAGAACTACTGCCAATTCACAAAAACTAGCCTCAGCAGAGAAGAATTGGCAAGAAACTCAGCGGGCAAGTCTTTTTTTTTTAATATTAGATTTTTTTTAAATATTAATTTTCACAATGAGTATTATAACGTAACAATTATTACAATATTGAAATGCCCGAAGCGAGCAACTCATTCCCACTTTGTGCAATCTTCTAGATAATCATTGACTTTATAGTAAGCTTTATTGCACAGATGTTCTTTATTAGTTTTCTTAAACCTATGTATACGTAAGTTCTGAAAATCTTGTGGGATTTTGTTGTACAGGCGCACAGACAAACACCCGAATGAATTTCGTATCTTATGTAACCTACTTACATCGGCCCAACAAGCTTGTGTTTCGCATAGTTTCAAACATAGTCGCGTTACGAAAGCAATAAAAAAGGCATAACGTGATTTTAAAATTTAAGTCTATTAATTGATTAGACAACATTTATTAGGCAAACTAGAAGACTTTTACTACTCGCCTAAAACTAACTATGTATTAAAATTATATTTGACTAAGCTAGTCACTTAGTTTAATCAATTTTCATTTAATTTCATCAAATCACACATCATCACATTTTCATCAAATTTCATTTTATCAACCAAAAATGCGGACAATGATTCTAGGTCAGCGTTTTCCATGAAATTTAGCTTTGCCAGGAACAACCAGGCTGCCATAAATACAATCGTTTCCGTCTTTTCATTTGAAATATAATCGTTTTCGTGTTCCAGAAATACTCATAACGGTACTTCAGAATTTTGACTTAAACTAGAGGTCCCGCAGTAGTCGAAATTCGACTATAATTAATTGGAATTGTAAGTTTGTGCATTATTATAATTGCATTTGATACTTCTTAATCACAAATTTCACCAAGGCTACACTATAAAAAAATATTAACAAAGACAAACAATAATTAATCTATTCTCAATTTGACAACAGACGTCAAGAACAAAATTTTGACAATAAATAGTATGCATGCGTGTGTGCGTTAAATACATGGTATGTAGTGTGTGTAATGTTTTCTTTATTGATTTAATGTACCTTTTATGCATTATTTTAAAAAAATATTAGCATTGTGCACTTCTTCTCTACATTCTCTATAAGTGTGGAAAATTTCATACTCCTCCGTCCGCGCAATTTTCGTAAAAAGGGATACAAAGTTTTTGCTTCACGTATTAATATATAGATAGAAAAGATTATATAAAACTGGCAACCTTAATCTATGGACAAGTGATTTAATTTTTGGTATTAAGCTAACTTTCACGTGTGTATTGTAAATTAGAATAAGTATTTCTAAAAACTTAAAATTTTCTAGATAAATCAGATGCCCATCAGAACATATTTACTAATGTTTAGTTATTTTTAGTGTTATAGTTTAATTTAATTCTTAAATTAAGTACAATGTGTATTTTAAATTTAATAGTTTACAAAACACATTAGCGTTCACATGAGTTATGGCTTGTGTGTATTTCTAGTCAACGGTGTTTTTTAAATACATTTAAGTATTAATGTATTTTTTTATTTATTTTACTATCTTTCGAAGTATGACATTTCAAAAACTTTTATTTATTTATTCTCGTATACTAATAGACTATGCCGGACTAATTTTTTTTCTCTAACATATATTATGCTGATAGCCTTGAGAGGCTATTTCAGTTTCTTGACGTGTAGGTGAGCTTATGGGGCTCAAACCGGAGTGTTGCTAATAGTGGCCCTAGCAAGAGTAGTGCTTCGCAGAATCTACCATCAAATCGAAAATGCGACTGAGAAGGTCCGGGGAGAAACTCAGTGGGCTGTGTCTATAGGTTAATTTACTTGTCGAGTCCTACGTCGGACGCGACGGGTTCGACAAGGACGGTGACCGGTGCTTGTGGTACCTAAAAGCATCGTTAATGGATCGGGAGGATCCGTAATGACGTGGGCTGGACTGTGCTACCACTATATGTACATAATAAGCTATATATGCATAGTATGTATGAGGCCTATCTTTCCCGCGTATGTTTTGGCTCTATTATAGTAAGGGAGAAATGAATCCGTAAAACAACATTTCGATTGCTAGTTCATCCAAACGTCAGATCCTTGTCAAGCCAATACTCGAAAAGAATATGGAGCTGGGCAATAATAAGATTACTGCATGATGCATGTGAATATTGGTTTCTGGGAAGGGGCCAAAAAGCAAGAAATCAGACTAAGAAATCTGACAAGGGGAACAGGTGGACATCGTAAGAAAGAACTTTCACGGTGAAGGAATAACATCGTGTAATAAAAATCAAACCTGCAAAATTATAATTTGTATAATTATTGGTAAATCGTCTTGTGAGTCCGCACTGGTAAGTACCACGACCCTGCCTATTTCTGCCGTGAAGCAGTAATGCGTTTCGGTTCGAAGGGTAGGGCAGCCGTTGTAACTATACTGAGACCTTAGAGCTCATATCTCAAGGTGGGTAGCGGCACACACTTAACAACTTTAAAAAAAATTTATGAAACTGATCTTTAAATAAACATAACCAAGAGATTGGAAGAGGAGCCATCACATTTCTAACCATTCAAATGCTCTACAGATTTCTTGATTTCTTGGGCGAGTTAAGTTTCCAATGGGTTAAACCGGGTATTTAATCACGGGTCTCATTTACTGATAGGCATATTGGGTGCTTGTACGGGCAGGTACCACCACCTTGCCTATTTCTGTGCACGAGGCATTGAAATATTTCGCTTTAAAATGTAGGGCAGCCATTGTACTGGCAAAAATTAAGACTTAGAACTCACAAGTCAAGGTGGTTTTTTTTTATTGCTTCGATGGATGGACGAGCTCACAGCCCACCTGGTGTTAAGTGGTTACTGGAGCCCATAGACATCTACAACGTAAATGCGCCACCCACCTTGAGATATAAGTTCTAAGGTCTCAGTATAGTTACAACGGCAACCCCACCCTTCGAACCGAAACGCATTACTGCTTCACGGCGGAAATAGGCGAGGTGGTGGTACCTACCCGTGCGGACTCACAAGAGGTTCTACCACCAGTGAAAAATCACCAGTGTGGCTGTACTTACGTTTTTGATATCTATGTGCTCCAGTAATCACTTAACACCAGATGGGCCGTGCGCTCATCCATCAATGTAAGCAAAGAAAAGCTCATGTAAGCTTTAGATTTTATTGTAGATTGAAAAATTATAATGACGTTTTTGTTTCTATAAACATTAAGATTGAAATCTAAAATAAATAAATATAGCATTATCAAGATTTAGGATGGGTAATTAGAATGGAGATAGAGTAAAGAATTTATTGTAAAAATGTTCCTTTACCCATTGCTTTTTACAAACGTTATATTATATTACTTATAATCAGCTTAAAGACTGCCAAAAAAGCTTTTGGCGAAATAATTCTGTAGGATACATGGAATCAATGGAAGCGACACAAAATCCTCCTAATTGCCTACGGAAACAAAACCAACGTCTAGAACCTACGCGATGTTACTTTATAGCTATATTTCGAATCTCCGTAAGCTGTTCACAGTATTTAAGGTGTAAAAATTAAAAGACCAGGTGTACATGATTGATGCTACTGCAGCAGAGCTTAAATCGTTAGACAATAACCATTTTTTAAGAAAACACGAACGATGAAATATGTGATTGTGTAATTAGCTAAACTCAAAAAAATGGCGTGCCTTTTTTTTATTGCTTAGATGGGTGGACGAGCTCACAGCCCACCTGATGTTAAGTGGTTACTGGAGCCTATGGACATCTACAATGTAAATGCGCCACCCATCTTGAGATATAAGTTCTAAGGTTTTAAGTATAGTTACAACGGCTGCCCCACCCTTCAAACCGAAACGCATTACTGCTTCACAGCAGAAATAGGCAGGGTGGTGGTACCTACCCGTGCGGACTCACAAGAGGTCCTACCACCAGTAATCCTGCCTATTGCTGGTATTGCTCATTGTTAGTCATAACATGTAGATGCCCCCATCCTGCATCAAGTTTCTGCCAGAAACCAATCATAAGTTTCGGTTTGAAGAATTGAGAACCGCGCTTATTGCTTTTGTCACAGCTCTAAGCTGTTTGGATTTGTTTTGTTTAATTGATTAATGAAGTAAAACCATTTGTATTTATTTGTTTATATAAATTTGCTCAAACCTAACTGCAGGCGGTTATC